GAAGATAAGGAGGAGGGGAAGGGAAGGGGTGAACGTAAGGGTAAGGGAAAAGGAGAGGTAAAGAGGAGGAGGAGAAGGAAGAGGAGGAGGAGGAGGAGGAGGCGGCATAATACCAGCCAGGCAGATACAAAAAGTGAGAAAAAAAAACACACACACACTACAAATAAAATCAACAACAACCCAGAAATAGGGAGAAAATACGAAACCAAACAACAACAAAAACAAACAAACAAGCAAACAAAAAAAACACCTCACAAACAGCAACAAAAACAAACAAACAAACAAGCAAAAAAAACACCTCGCAAACAACAACAACAACAAAAACAAACAAACAAGCAAACAAAAAAACACCTCACAAACAACAACAACAACAAACAATAACAACAAAAACAACACATTCATCTCGAGAGACAAGAGTCTTCATCTCCTCCCTTTCATGACACAGCGAACACTAAGACCTTCCCAAGTGCATGACTGAGGGGGTAGGGGAGGGGGGGGAGGGGGGAGATGGGGGAGGGGTATGGGGGATGTGGTGGAGGGTGTAAGGGGGGGAGGGGCAGGGTAGTAGGGGAGAGGTGGGGGGGGAAGGAGGAGGAAGGGGAGAGGGTGGTGGATGGTGTGGGGAGGGGACGGGGGAGGAGGTAGGGAGAGGAGAGGGGAAGGGAGAAGAGGGATGAGAGGTGTGGGGGAGGGGGAAGGGGAAGGGGAGGAGAGGGGATACTGGGGAAGGAGGAGGGCAGAGGGGGGGTGGAGTAAAGGAATGCAGGAATAGCGCTGTAAGAAAGGAAGAGAAAATCACAGATGAGAGGAGAGAAAAGGAGAGCAAAGAAGAGGCGGAGAAGAAGAAGAGGAAAAAATAAGAGCAAAGAGAAAAAGGAATATCAGTAAGAGAGCAAAGAAGAGGGAGAGAGAGTAAGAGGAGACAGAGGATAAGAGAATAAGGCAAAGGAGGAGGAAAGGAAGGAGGAGGAAAAGGAGATAGCGAATAAGATAAAAGAGGGGGAAGAGGAAATAGAGAACGAGACAAAGGAAGAGGGGGAGGGGAAAACAGAGAACAAGACGAAAGAGGAGGAGGAAGAAAGAGAGCGAAAAAGAAGACAAAATACCGAAAGGAGGATGAGAGGATGAGAAAGAGGAGGAGAAGGAAGAAGAAGAAGATGAAGAACGAAAAGAAGAAGACGAAAAGAAAGAAGAAAATCCTCCTCCTGAAGAAGAAGAGAAGAAGATGAAGAAGACAGAGGCGGAGAAGAAGGAAGAAGGAGGAGAAGAAGAAGGAGA